TGCTGATCTCAATTTGTTCTCAAGTGCAATAAATAGCATAGCATCAAATAATACCAGAATACTCAGATTTTTTTTTCATTTTTCACCCTTCTGATGACAACTGTTTCCTTTATCAATATGAAAGGACTACAGAACAGTGAGAGCAGCTGTACATCCCTTGATTACATTAGCCAAACACTCTCCTTTTTACTCAGTGGCAGACTGGGTTTTGTCTCTGAGTTTGAGGACCACAACAGCTCCCTAGATAGCTTCAATGTGGAGGAGCTGGTCAACCACAATCAGCAAGTTGGTGGTCAATAGAATTAAGACATGCATGTTAGCTCAAGACCCACGTCCAGCCAGCATGGCTTAGTGGTTGAGCATCGACCTATAAACCAGGAGGTCAGGGTTCGATTCCCAGTCAGGGCACAAGCCCGGGTTGTGGGCTCAATCCCCACAGTGGGGCGTGCAGAAGGCAGCTGATCGATGATTTGCTCTCATTATTGATGTTCCTATCTCTCTCTCTCTCCCTTTCTCTTTGAAATCAAAAAATATATATATATTTTTTAAATACCCAGGAAAAAAACAGTGGTACACATAAAAAACATTCATGTACTTGGTAAACTCACCTTGAAATCCTATCTGCTTCAGATCCTATTTTCACTATGATTTATGGGTCTGCAGCATGAAAGTTTCCCAACCCAACAAACATTCTCATAGGTCCAAGGATTTGAGAAATAATTTTCACAAATATGCTATTTTCAAAATAGAAACTTCATGGATGCTCCAACTACCTTGAGTCACATGAATATTGAAAACAGGAACAATTATTGACATAGATGTTGCCATGTTGGGGTTCCTGAGAAATACACCTTCTTCATGAGATAGCCCTGCAATTGTACTTTTGCTCTGAGCTGTGCTCAATTTAGGGTTCCTCTTGCTCGATTCCAAATAAGTCAGTAGGTTGATCAACTCCACAAGAGTTCTACTGATCTATGGAGATGGCATTGCCAGGAATTAAGTGTTTCATGAATTCCATAATAGGTGAAAATCTACTCCTTTTTCTTTTTGTTAAGGGAAGAGAAGGAACAATTAGAGAAACCCTATGTTTATAGGTTAGGAAACAAAGATTTCCTCTAAATATATTGAGCACATATCAATAAATACATAAACAACATCATAAAAGCCAACCTCCCTCTCCTTCCTGACTTTTGGACAAAATCAGAAAAGGCAGGCATAGGGGGTGGTCTAGAGAGGAAGACAAGTATCACATGATCTCACTCATATGTGGAATCTAATTAACAAAATAAACTGATGAATAGAGTGGATCCAGAGACATGGAAGCATGGAACAGAATGCAGAATCTCTGAGGGAGGTGTGTGTGTGTGTGTGTGGGGGGGGTAATCAACCAAAGACCTTGTATGCATATATGCATAACCCATGGACATAGACAATAGGTGGTGGTAAAGGCCTGGGGCAGGGAGGTCACTGGCTGGAGTGGGTCAGTGGGGGGGGTGGTCATATGTAATACTTTCAACAATAAAGATTTATAAGAAAGAAAAAAAGTAAGAGAGAGAGAGAGAGGCACATCCCTGTAGTGGGTGTGCAGGAGGCAGCTGATCGATGTTTCTAACTCTCTATCCCTCTCCCTTCCTCTCTGTAAAAAAAAAAATCAATAAAAAAAATATATTTTAAAAAGAATTGGCAGAAAAGACAAGGTATGTTAGATAAACATATAAATCAACATATGCTTAAAAACATTCAAGTAGCAGATACCTCTTATTAGATTTTAGTTCAGAAAAATCAATTCGCTATTGCAAAAGGGTTTTCAATAAAGAAAACACAGGAATAACTGAAGAATGTTTTTTTAAAAAACTGGCCTCAAAAGTTTTTAAAAAGAATTGGCAGAAAAGACAAGGTATGTTAGATAAACATATAAATCAACATATGCTTAAAAACATTCAAGTAGCAGATACCTCTTATTAGATTTTAGTTCAGAAAAATCAATTCGCTATTGCAAAAGGGTTTTCAATAAAGAAAACACAGGAATAACTGAAGAATGTTTTTTTAAAAAACTGGCCTCAAAAGTTGACATGTCCTTTCCCATCTACTCTCACTACTACACAAATGCCGAATCTTTCCTGGTTCTATGCAACATTACCTGTCATAGAATTAGCAAAGAAAGGGGATTTGGAAGTTGTACTCAATTCCCTATCTGAGAAGAAATGAAGGTCAAGGGTGTTCAAGTGATTCACTGAGCACAGAGCTCATTTGAGGTGGGGCCAGAATCCCCATCATGCTAACCCAGCCCACAAACTCAAGTTTAAGCTGTGCTGCAGTGGGCCAGCATGGCCTCTCAGGTTATGTCGCCTAATACCACAAGTGAGAAGTTCCCAAATCAGTTTCCTCAGTTACCAGATTTTATACCTGCTTCCTTCTCTAATCTCAGGCTGGGGAAGAGTAGGATGGGCCCACAGCTTCCCTGTCACTCCTGGTTGTACCATTTATTGGCCATGCATGTATGCACTGGTCACCTAACTCCTGAGAGTCTAGAAATACTTGAATTAATACCTAAAACCTCATCAAAATGTTATGAGGGCCAAAAGGGAATGTATAAATATGCTCTTGAAAACTATACAAAAATATAAGCTGTCACTATTCATGGAGGCTACATATTTGTAATATGGTATCTCTCAAAAAGTCATGGAAATATAAAGATGTCATGAAAACTGCCAAGTGCATGATTTTCAGCATTGTTTCCTGGACCAACAGTAATTCCCTACCCACATTAGCAAGTGAACTTGGGTGGGTGTGTTTCTAACTTAATGGCTCTTATTTCGTGTCTAATGGCTGTCTGCCCCACACTGCCCACACACCAAAATAGCACAGGCTGAGTCTAGCAAAGTGTGGCTCGGTTTGGGTTTACTCATCTCCAAGGTAAATGACAGGGTTCACTAACTTTCTTTCATATGTGTCAGGGGCCAAGGGTAAAACAATCAAATAAACCACTCCACTCAAGAACAGAATTATCGAAAGAGGCATGCTGATAAACTTGCTGGTTTTATGGCATTCACATGTCAGCCAAAAAACAACTGCTAGAAGTCAAATGTGGATCATCATCCACAAGCAGAACAGCAGGGGCTCCTGCACATTCAATCAAATGTGGGTGCTACTCTGAGACACGTGTGACTTAAGGGTTCATTTCTGTTTCACAAAGAACAGAATTAAAGAAGTCCTAAGATATACTTATCTGGGTATATTTTCACTTAATTCAACACATCTCAGCTCTTTCTTAAGTCTAACCTGTCTTTTAAAATAATCTCTGCACGCACACACACACACCTCAGTGGGAGTGGGGAGAATTATTAGATATTTGGGTCTTGCATGTTAAATTTTATGAAATGCCACAGAATACAGACCCATTCATGTGTGTGTTATGACATTAGAGGAGGGGAAAGTTTTAAGCCTACAATGTCCAGTGTGGTAGCCACAAGCCACAGTAGCTATCTAAATTTAAATCAAATAAAATTTAAAGTTCCCCTTCTCACTCGAACACATTGAGCCATATTCAAGTGCTCAGTAGCCACGTGTGCCTGGTGACTATCATATTGGATGGTGCAGATTCTTGAACACTTCTATCATAGCAGATAGTTCTATTGGATAATGCTGATTTAAAAACAAATGAATAATGACTTTAAAAAAACAAACCATAATCACCATGCAATGGTCCTCCTCTCATTCCCTAAAAAGGTTTTGGTAAAGGTCAGGCTATCCACAGTTAAGTAAGATCACAGCAAATCTCTCTGATGCATGCATGTGCCTCCCAAATAATGAAAGCATTCTTTTAAAAAACTATTTCACTGTACTATTTCTTACAAGACAAAATCACCAGCTGCAAGGCATGGGAACTGCTATCCTTACAACCCTGGTTTGATTTACAAGATTTGACATCATCGGTCTACATGTGGTTATTTGACAAACAAAAGGCTTGTTACAGTCAAGTTTGTTTATGAAAGATTCCTGGTGCCTAATAAATTCCCAATATAAAAATACATGTATCCCAAGGTGCTAGGGCAAGGATACAGTAATGCCTCAGATAGTCCACTTTTTATGCTATCCTGGGGGCAGCCATTAGACCATTTCTTCATCGACAGGAAGAGGTGATTGGAATTAAAACATTTTAATGGCATACTTAAGATTCCCAGCATGCATAAGTCCCTACAATACTTCATATCAAAATCCATTTCATGTGGAAAAAGCATATTTTAAAACAGGTTCCCATGCACACAGATTTCCCCAAAGCAGTTACCACTATACTTACTTCCTTCTCAAAGAGCCCCTGGAAGCCATAAAATATAAGAGTAACGAAATAAAAACTTAGTGTGCTTTGAATGAGTTTTACATTGGATAATAAATGCAGAATGCAAGCCCTGCAGGGCACAAAGAACGTAGTAGTGTTTATCACCATTAACTCCCCTCCTGGCTGCCCCCACATCATCAGCCTGCAGTGACCCATGATCAGTAAAGAGCACCTTTTAACC